GCATATGATCTTGAGGTAGAACAGATGGATGTAAAGACGGCATTCCTTCATGGGGACTTGGAGGAGGAGATATATATGAGGCAACCAAGGCTTTGAAATAAGAGGAAAGGAGAATTTAGTGTGCAAATTGAAAAAGTCTTTATATGGGTACAGCACCGAGGATGTGGTACTGGAAGTTTGACACGTACATGCTCCATCTTAATTTTGTGCGTTCAAATTCCGACCATTGTGTTTATGTGAAGAGAACGGGCGATCGCTTGTCATTCTCACGCTATATGTGGATGATATGTTGTTGATCGGGAATAGTGTGAAGATGGTGAATTCCGTGAAGAGTTTGCTGGCCAAAAAGTTCGAAATGAAAGACTTGGGGCCTCAAATTTTATTTTGGGCATGCGATTAGGAGGGACCGTGAGAAAAGGAAGCGTGGTTAGGGCGGGAGAAATACATAAAAGAAATATTGAAGAAATTCAATATGATAGATCGCTGTTGGTACCCCTATACCTTTAGGGACCAAACTATCTGCGGAACAATGTCCAAAAACGAGATGAAGAAGTCGAAGAGATGGCCCGAATTCCATACGCGAGTGCAAGTGGGTAGCTTGATGTATGCTATGGTGTGCACGCGTCCGGATATAGCCCAAGCAAAGGGGAGTCTTGAGTCGATACATGTCTAACCCGGGTAGAGAACACCGGAATGCGATCAAAAGAGTTTTCGGTATCTTCGTGGAACTTTGAATTTTTCTTTATGTTTTGAAGGTACAGGGAATGGAAACATGCTTGATATCGTAGGCCATGTAGATGCTGATTGGGGTGGAGATATTGATAGTAGACGGTCCACTAGCGGATATGTTTTCACATTGTTTGGTGCTGCATTGAGTTGGATGAGCAGGAGGCAAAGCGTGGTAGCGCTTTCTTCTACTGAGGCTGAGTATATGGCTCTTACTCATGCTTGGAAAAGAGGCCGTATGGTTACGGCGGTTGTGCTTGGAGCTCGGTTTTGAGCAAGGTGCCATAGAGGTGAGATGTGATAATCAAGGGGCTATTTATTTAGCTAAGAATCCAGCATTTCACTCACGCACAAAGCACATTGATATACAATATCATTTCATCCGAGAAAAGGTAGAGAAGAAAGAGGTTCGGCTTGTAAAGGTCGACACGGTAGAAAATAGTTCTGACTTCCTTACTAAAGCCGTCACAGGTGCGAAGTTTGAATGGTGCTCTCTGCGATTGGATTGAAGAAGAATGATATTGGAAAGGCCCTCATTTGCACGAAGTATTCACCAAGTGGGAGAATGTTGGAGTTGGCGAATACTGGGGGACCCTTGTTTCTCACACCGGGTACGCCCACGTGAGCTTAGGGGAAACCGAGTGTTGTCCGACGACATGTGACCCATGCGTGCGGAATGCGGGGGTTCGGGCGCGCCCCGACACGGGTGCCCCCGCCTTGCCGGTCAGTGGCGGGGGTTCGGCGCGCCCCGACGGGGTTCCACGCCTCGGCCAATGGATTGGCACGCCCCGCTCACGGTGAGCGGGCGGGGGCTCTGGGGCGCTGCCCTAAACCTCAACGGGTTTGGGCTGGCCCGTATGGTGCGAGATTAAGAGATTTCATATAGGTTTAGGTTTTGGGCCCGTTTGGGGCATATATATATTTTACTCGTTTTTTGATCATTGTAACGAGTTGAGTGGCTGTAAACCGAAAACATAGTGAAATCTCTTTGCAGGACGTAGCCCTAATCGAGGGTGAACCTGGATAAATTCGTGCATCGTCTATTTTCTCTGTTTTCTGCGTGATCGTTCTGTTTCGGTTCTCGATACGTCCCTTCAGAAAATTTCGAGCGCAAGCCAATGCGAGGGAGTGCACCTTTAAGACCACCCGAAGATGTTCATTTGTATAGATGCCTGATAATTGACCTAGATACTACTTGATCACTAGATAAAAAAGAAATTACAATCATTAACTCCTTTTTTCCGACCCGAAATCATTTCCTAGACAAAAAGCATACCATGTAACTGCCACACTATTTAACAAGAAACAGTTCCTACTTTTTATCGTTTACGACTGAAAAGTCAAGCAAGTAAAAGTTCGAGGAACTTGTGTCGAACTTATTCACATTGATTTTACGAATGGTGATTATATCTTGAAATAAAGTATCATTACCCCGGTCCTGCTCAGAGAACGACACCATGCATGATCCTCGCATCCGGATACGGATAGCAACAAATGATAATAAACCAAAACTCAATTACAAGTACTTAAAAAAGCCTTTCTCGTTATGGAAAGCATCTGTTACATTATTCCAATCACAAAGTATTCACCAAATGGCTATTTTACTCACAAGCAGAATGTATAACCACACTGTACTGGCAAAAAGGCTCGTCGGTGAAGCCTTTGCAAATGGGCCTTTCCTAATGCCAAGCAAAGCCTCTTTCTTCTTCAAATTGGGCAGCAAGGCCCAATGATGTCAAGTCTTTCGAAATACCAAAAAAGAAAAAAAGAAAGAAAACAAGCTTGCCCCTCAAAACCGGGATATTACAAAAAGAAGAAGAAGAGAGGAGCTTCCATAAAACAGTTTGATCGGAGAACCCGAATGACAACACGCTCCAGGCGTTCATTGTTATTTTGCAATTGCAATTTCTGTGCTACCAAATTTCATTCCCGAACACTTTGTGTTTCTTTCTCGAATAAGACGATATAAGACGTAAAACATGTTCATGTTTGTCTTTGATCGTTCGAATCTCCTAGACAAAATAGGTTAGACATTCCATGCAGAAAAGAAAAGAAACATTACCTTTTCAAAGTATAGAAGTATTAACATATCTAAAGTTTTTTTTTTTGTGGGTGGACCGGTGGAGTAATATAGGAAGCATTCTTGGCGAGGATTTTCCCATCCTCCCTGCCTCTATCTTATTATTTGACTTTGCGCTGTGTTTTCTCCCTGTCCATTTCTACTGATTTTTCCAGCCGCCTAAAGCTGACTGTCATCATGCCATGAGCCCCCAAGTAACGACGGCAAAGTGCCTTACAGATTTCCCGAGTCATGTTTTGTTAATGCAACAATTCTGGTTTCAAAGAACGAATCTTTACTGATAAGCTGAGAATGGTGAATCCATTTATAGATCACGGTCATTTAGGGACTATCCTTTTCTTTGTTTCTCTATGTGATCACTAAACTCTAGTCAAGGGCGACAACATCGCAATGTTTAGGAGGAAGTGCTTCTCTTTTATCAGCAGTTGTAACGGGTCTCGTGGGAACTATCTCGACATTTATATCCATGCTTTTGGTGGATAAGCTCAGTCGAAGAAAGTTGTTAACGATTGGGGGTGTTCAAATGCTTGCATCGAAAGCAATGGTCCAAGGAACTGCGGCTGATAAGCTTGGAGATCACGGAGGAATTAGCAAAGCTTATGCTTATTTGGTACTTGTTTTGATATGCAAATATGTTTCCGGGTTCGCCTGGTCGTGGGGACCTCTTGGGTGGTTGGTCCCAAGCGAAATATACCTACTAGAGATCTGATCAACAGGATAGAGTATAACAGTTGCGGTTGGATTTCCCTTTACATTCTTAGTTGCGCAAATTTTGTGTCTCATTGGCCTCTTGCACTCGAAGATGAAAAGTCCCATTGTTCTTCACTGTCTTTTCTAGCCACTCAATCTATCTAACCACCAATTATTATGGAGAAGACCACCAAAGTAGTGAGTGCTGGTGCAGTGAGTGCCGATGCTATGTGAGATGGACTCAACCGTTCTCTTTAACAACATTGACAGATTTGTGTTAAAAAAAGAGAGACAAAGTTAATGCCCTAGATCATGATCATGACAGTGACATGGATAAAGTAATGTTTAGCTGAATCGCTAGCCAAAGTTGTGATGTAGCTAGCAAGGATCATCTAGAGGAGGGTGAATAGGTGATCTTAAACAATTTTTGATAATTTATGCGGAAACAAAATAAATCACAGTAGAGTCTGAATAAAATTCAGATTTAAGACAGATTATATAGACGGTGCTCTTGATGTGTAGAATATAAAGTAAGAGATAAGGGATAGAGAATCTGCACACAAGTTTATAGTGGTTCGGCTTTATAGCAAGCCTACGTCCACTCTCCCACGCTTACTGACCTACCGGCTGGATTTCATTATGTAATCAAGAGGAATTACAACTTCGAGTGTTAACACTCTTGTGTATGATAGAACTCTCTATCTCACACAATACCACTCTTATAAAGTGTCCCTCAAGATCTTAATGTTTGGCTCGTAACGACAAGAGAAATGATTGGAGTATGCTCGACTTTGGACTTGTTGATTCTTGATTCCTGTGTTCCTTCGCGCTCGTTGATCTCCTTAAATACTCCTCTACTAGCCGTTGGACGCCTTTCGAGAGGATCATCTTCCAATCTTCACTTTGGACAGATTTGTATAATAAGGATTGAGTAGCCGTTGGATGACGATTCCGAATCCCGTGATCTCGATCGCCCATACAATCGAATCTTGGTTTCCATAAGTAGAGCTTTGTCCGTTGTAATGCATTCTTGTCGTAATGTTTGATTGTCAATCAATTTGATTGAGATTGAGACAATCGAACATTCCTTCGTGAAATCCATGCCGATCACTAGCGTTGTGTTTCGTTCAATTCTCGCTGCGTCTCGAAGAAATTCTCATGATCGAATAATTTCGCATCCGTGTCTCCGCATCCGAATAACTTCGCTTCGCATATCTCGCATCCGAATAACTTCGCGTCTCAATCTCGTAACCTAGATTATGTGGGTCTTCATAAACATACTTGAGATTTGTAAAGTCTGAATAATTTCCTTCTGAGTTTCTAGAACATAAATACCTGGAATAAATTAGTTCAGAATAAGTATCAGACTTATAATTATGTGGAAGGTTTTGTCAACATCAAAATTAATAGGAGTTTTCCTCAACAAGTTGGAATTTGCAGGCTTGTCTTCTGATATAACTTTAGCACCAGCAGTTTTTTCCACAATTAGAATTAATGACACATGGGGATCAAACAAGCCAGTGTCTGATCACAGTTTGGGATCTAGGCCAACCAAAATTTCATTTCCATTTTCAACTCCTCGTGCTGCCATATGGTCCCAGATGATTTGAGCCCGCTCATATAGCAAGAAGGACCGGCCATTTGGCTATCTTTCATTTCATGTCCCTACCGTGTGTTATTGGAGGAAGCCATGGCTGTAGGAGAAGCTATAGAAAACGGAGGAACATATAGATACAATGGAAGAATCACTCCGTTTGTTGTCTTTGCTTGTGCAGTGGCCGCCACTGGTGGCATTATTTTCGGCTATGACATTGGCATATCGGGTTTGTTCAGCCATTTCGCAGGATATTGTGTGATTTTTTATGTTCAGTTACTGTTTAATGCTTATGAGGTAGAGCTTCATATGAGTTTGGAGAGTGTCGAACATTTTTTTCTTGTCAGTGCTGATAGAAGAACATGTCTTTTCTTAAGGCGGAGTTACATCGATGGAGCCATTTTTGAAGAAATTTTTCCCTGTTTAATGGTTATGAGATAGAGCTTAGCGTCAAACGTTTTTTTCTTATCAGTGCTGATAGAACATGTCTTTTCTTAAGGTGGAGTTGCGTCGACGGAGCCATTTTTGAAGAAATTCTTCCCAGAAGTGTATAATAAGATGAAAGAAGACACAAAGATCAGCAACTACTGCAGATTTGACAGCCATCTCTTGACCTTATTCACCTCCTCCTTGTACATAGCTGGCCTTGTAGCTTCCTTCTTTGCCTTCTCAGTCACGAGATATTTTGGACGCTTGCCTTCCATTCTTGCTGGCGGGACTGCTTTTCTCACCGGTTCAGCTCTCGGAGGTGCAGCTTCCAATGTGGCCATGTTAATATTTGGCCGTGTTCTACTTGGGATTGGAGTCGGCTTCGCAAACCAGGTTCGTATATTGTCGTACTAGGAGTGCAATCATCAAGACTAGTCAATTCTATTTTACTAAGCCAAATGTGATCTGCTGACCAATTTTTGTCTACCTTCGTTTCATCATTTTATAAAGGTCTTTCCATTCATAGTTGCGTGATCTGTCTTTGAAACTAGAATTGAAGCATATCATAGAACAATTTTAAGATCAGTTTGACAGGCCAGCTTGTAATTGTCTTCTACACTCTTTCTAAAGACATTTTTGGACAGGGCCTTATATTCTTCCATCACTCTCTAGCCAAAAACTATGCCAATGGTGTTCTGTTGAAGAAGAAATGCCTAGTGACATTGTCTTACTTCTTGATTTGCAGTCGGTCCCTCTGTACATCTCGGAAATGGCGCCTCCACGTCATCGAGGATTTTTCAACAACGGCTTTGAATTGTGTCTAGGAAGCGGTGTTTTATTTGCTAATCTCATCAACTACGGCGCCGAGAAAATAGAAGGGGGTTGGGGCTGGGGAATCTCCCTAGCTATGGCTGCAGTTCCAGCATCAATCCTTACACTTGGTGCATTTCTTCTCCCCGAAACGCCTAACAGCTTAATCCAGAGAAGCAGCAACATAGAAAAGGCCAAATCCATGTTGCGGCGTATCCGAGGCACAGATGATGTTCAAGCAGAGCTAGACGATCTCATCAAAGCGAGCTCGATCTCGAAAACTGTCCACCATCCATTCAGAAACATCATCCAAAGGAAGTACAGGCCTCAACTAGTCATGTCCATAGCCATTCCCTTTTTTCAGCAAGTCACAGGAATCAATGTCATTTCGTTCTACGCCCCGGTACTATTCAGAACAATCGGATTAGGGGAGAGGGCTTCTCTTTTATCAGCAGTCATGACCGGCGTTGTTCGAGCTGTTTCAATAATCATATGCATGCTTTTAGTGGATAAGCTTGGTCGAAGGAAGCTGTTCATGATCGGGGGTCTCCAAATGCTCGCGGCACAAGTAACGATCGGAGCAATAATGGCAGCTAAGCTTGGAGATCACGGTGAAATCAGCGAGGCCTATGCATATTTGGTAATTGTCTTAGTATGCATATATGTCGCCGGGTTTTGCTGGTCGTGGGGACCTCTCGGGTGGTTGGTTCCCAGCGAAATATTCCCCTTAGAGATCCGATCGGCAGGGCAGAGTATTACGGTTGCAGTCGGATTTCTCTTCATATACCTAGGGGCGCAGACGTTCTTGTCCATGCTGTGCCACTTCAGGTCGGGGCTGTTTTTCTTCTTCGGCGGGTGGGCAGTGATCATGACAGTGTTCGTGCATCTGTTGTTGCCGGAGACAAAGAACGTGCCAATCGAGCAAATGGATAAGATCTGGAGGGAGCATTGGTTTTGGAAGAAGATTGTGGGCGAAATCGATGTCAAAACCAATAAGATTGAAGCCTGACTCTGCTATTTCGGTACAGGGGGACATAATAAAGTTAACGATACTACAACCAAGGCCAATTACTGATCATTTTGGGTGCGTTTGTTTCTTGAAAAATGAATAATCCGAAAAATATTTTCCTAAAAATGATGACTTATATCGCTTATGAAAATGAATGAACGAAAAATATTTGCATCGTCCAAATGGAGCCTAGTAAGTTCTACGGACACAACTAGCTATCTCAAGGTACTACAAGCACATGAGCTTCCCTTTTCTTCCTGAAGCTAAGATGAATACCAAAACAGTAGCTCGACTGGACATACCATAAAAGGAAAATGTCCTTTTAATTGGTACGCAAAACATGGTCAGAATTCTTCCTGAGGCCATCCACTTGTTTCCAGGCAATCTACATGACCTTAGAAGACTGTTGCAAGTTGAGCAATGAATGATCATTTGCACGTCTTGGTACCTAAAGCAATTGATGCTAGCAACAAGGGGTGAACAAAAACAGAACTATCTGGAAATCATCAGCAAAGTCACCCGCGTTGCTATGAATCCACCATGGCACCCTGCAGCTTTGCTCGGAGTGCCGGCTCATCTGCCATCATTTCTTTCACAATCATAACTCCTCTGCAAATTCGGACTCTTCGTCTCGCATTGCCACTGAGTTCTTGCTGTTGCACCGACAGGCCCAACGTTCTCGAGGGACTCGAGCCTTGCGAGCGCCTCTTTAACCCAGCCGTCCTTGCGCCCTACGCACTCCATGGCCATCGATCTTCTCTGTGCGCTCTTTCCACAGAGCTTACAGAAGCGAAAAGCTTCACAGGCAATTGTGATTTCCCTCTTATTATGGACAATGCTTTTTATAGTATCCCGTTATCACATAATCATCTCATAAAAACTTGGAAAATTCACGTATTCTTGTTGCGAAACACAGAAATTATCAGTTCTCTTATGAGTATCGTAAAAATTAACAAAAAATATTAAAATAATGTAGGGAGATTGTGCTAGCGAAGACATAGCATCCAATTAACTGATAATTGACGAAGTAGAAATGAGATGGACAGTGTCAAGAAGCATGTAGTATCGTATAAAATAACATTTTATTTCAATGTGCTTACTGCACTTGGTGGAAAGCATCACTACGTGTTATTTGGATAGCACTCCATTATCGTAGTAAATGACTATCCCACCACTTTCACGAACTCTAATGTTTTCTAGCAAACCATCGCAATTGCAATATTTCTGATATCGTATTGACGAGAGCACGATATCTGTTTTTGTACCTGATCAAGCGACGGGGATCAGTTTCTTGCCACACCATGACATAAGCAAGTCACCTAGAAAGAAGTGAGCCGTATGTGGAAGAACTTTGTAGCATTCCACAGTAGGATGATCTAGCGGTGACAGCTTAAATAGCCTTTCTTTAGTCATAGAAAACAATTGCATTATTCCAATTGCAAGTAGCTGCCAAATAACTATTTTGCAAACGGCCCAGCCTAATGCCATCCGAAGCCTCTTTCTTCTTCAACAAGCCCATCCTTTGGTCAGAAGGCTTACATGTTAAAGCCGGTAAAATTGTCCAAAAAATCATAAATTTAATTGCATTTTTGTCTGTTCAGTCATAAAATTTTTAATTGTGCTAATTGAATCATACACCTTTTAACATTTTGTCAATTAAGTCCATCCGGCCAATTTTGATCTGAAATTACTGGCATGGATACTAACCATCCTACATGGTACAGTTAGTACCGACGTTGATAATTTTTAACAATATGTTAATATTTTTTGAATATTTTAATATTTTATTGTTTTCTTTTTCCTTCTTTACTTTTTCATTTTTATTTTTTTTATTGTTAAGGGCTGGTAGGGGGTCAATGACCACCAACCAAAGCCTGGCACCTATTGTCCACGTCAGCGCCGATCGTGCCACGTAAGACGGTCGCCATCCACGTTAATGATTTCCGATCATAATTGGATGGATGGACTCATTCGATACAATTAAAAGATTTAAAACTGAACTGACAAAAGTGCAATAAATTTAGGACTTTTTCTACAATTTTCGCTCTTTCTCCAAATTGGCCACCTAGGCCCAATGATGTTAAGCCTTTCAAAAACCCAAAAAAAAGAAAGAAAAAAGAAAACAAGAGTGCCCTCAAAACCGTGATATTACAAAAAAAAAGGAGTTTTTATTTTTAGTAATTAAGTACAAATATAGTTTTAATTTAGAACAGTTTTGATAGGAGAATCCACATAATAACATGCTCAAGGCTTTCATTGTTATTTGGGTTAATACTATGAAAAATCCTAAACTAGTATACCTGTGACAAATTTATCCCAAACTAATTTTTGATCACGAAAAATCTCAAATTGGTACACCCGTGACCAATTTACCCTCTGTTAGTTTTCATTAAATTTTACCGTTAAATTGCTGAGGTGGATTACACGTGGCAGTTGATGGGTATACCAATGTAGGGTTTCCTCTATCTATCACAGATTTATCAATTTGTAGTTTTTCGTGGAATCTAATCTAATGGAGGAAAAATTTGTCACAAGTGTGCCAGTTTGGGATTTTTGAAGGTCAAAAAATTGGCTTTGGTTAAATTTGTCACAGGTGTACCAGTTTGAGATTTTTTGTGGTAAAAAAATTAATTCGAGGTAAATTTATCACATGTATACCGATTTAGGATTTTTCTTGATATTAACCCTTATTATGTTGCAATTGTAATTTATGCTACCAAATTTCATTCTCGAACACTTCACCAAGTTTTTTGTGTTTTTTTCTCGAATACGACGATATAAGACGTAAAATCGATCAAACCTCCTAGACAAAATAGGTTACACATTCAATGCAAAAAAATAAAAAAATAAAAAGAAATATTTCTTTTCAAAGTATAGAAGTATTAACATATGTAGAGCTTTTTTCTTTTGACGAGAATTTTCTCATCGTCCCTGCCTCTATCTTATCATTTGACTTTGCGCCGTCTTTTCTCCTTGTCCATTTCTGCTAATTTTTCCAGCCACCTAAAGCTGACTATCATGCCATGAGCCCCCCACTAACGACAACAAAGACTCCGTTGATTTTGCGAAAGGTATGATATTTTTGGAATATATTTTTTAAGAAGTTATTTTCAAAAAAATAATAATATTTTTCGACGGTTAATTGAAATATGAAAATGAACTAAAAGATATTTTCCGTCATTTGATAAAAATTTTCCACCGTGCACTCAAAAAAATACTTACAATGAGTGCACAGAAGAAAACGTACTTAGTGTGGGTGAAAGAAAGAGGAGGTAATCATTTTTCCCGCTTTTGATGGTATTAACTTTTTTTCTGAAAGCTATTTTTCGTGAAATAAACGAAGTCAAAGTGTCTCATAGATTTTCCGTTTGGTTAATGCAATGATTCTAGTTATAGATCAATTTATAGATCACGGTTATTCGAGGACCATCTTTTTTTTTTTTCAATATGATCGCTGAACTCTAGTCTAGTCAAGCACGATAAGAAGGCAAAAGAGAGAGGATACTCTGTTTTCTATTGTCTTGTCCCGCCAGATGGGAGCTCCTCATGCACGCAACAAAATCTTACTTTTCCTTCTCCAGTTCGAGTCCAAAGTTCAAGTTCAACCCCCACGTGCTTGCTCTGTGGAAAATTCCAGTCCTAGATGCTGGTTTGATATTTCCACACTAGAATACAGAAGCATTATCTTTCTACTTGATGCTGCTCTTTTTACTTGTCAAGACTCAGAGAAGTGGTTCTGGTTCATCCCGTGAAGTGTGCCATTGGAGGAAGCCATGGCTGTGGGAGTAGTTATGTCTGAACCTACCGCGCTGTACAATGGTCGAATCACGGCGTTTGTCGCCATTTCATGCATGGTGGCCGCCACGGGAGGAATCATCTTTGGATACGACATCGGTATATCGGGTATGTTTTGTTCGATTTTCTTGCATCGATACTTGGCTAAGGCTCCGACTTAGTAGTTTCGTCGTGCTTATATGAACAAGTAACTTAATATGACGAATGAAAACAGTACCATGTTACTTATTCTGATAACAGTACTACAGAACAGACAGATTTGTCAAGGCTGATAAAAGACAGAACAAATTTACTCCACATTCATATGTGTTGGGGGTGCTTGTTGTGATCTCATAGCAAGACAGTTGCAGGAGGTCAGTGCGATATTCCATTGAATAGATTGAGCTACTAATGCTAGTTATTGTGGAATAAATGCCGAGTTTCCAACTTTTTAGGCTGTGCGTTGTATGTGAGCTTCACTTTCTGAGAGATGCTGTAGTCTCTTTCCTAACCATGAATACGATCCTCCTGCAAGATATCATTAGTAATCTCCCGATAATCAGCTAAAGGAAATACTACGCGATCATTCCTTTTCAGGTGGCGTCACCTCAATGGAACCATTTCTGAAGAAATTCTTCCACGATGTGTACGATAAGATGAAAGAAGACACCAAGATCAGCAACTACTGTAAATATGACAGCCAACTGTTGACCTCATTCACATCCTCCTTATACATATCCGGCCTTGTGGCTTCCTTCTTCGCCTCCTCGGTCACAAGAGCTTTTGGACGAAAGCCATCCATTCTTGTTGGCGGGGCTTCCTTCCTTGCGGGATCGGCCCTTGGAGGTGCGGCTTCTAATGTGTACATGCTGATATTCGGCCGCATTCTGCTCGGCGTCGGGGTCGGCTTTGCAAATCAGGTACTAACACACTTGCTGTTTGATAGTGTGCTCTTCTTTGATATTCTTAAAAACTTATCTTCAACTTGTTTTAGTTAGAATTCTGCTTGGCTTATCACGAGCTATTTCTAGGTGAATCACTTCTTAGTATTGTCATGACAATCGTCAAGAAGTAATTTAATTTATGACATTAAATTTTTTCAGTGTTGTCAGTACATTTTTCAAGCATTGTCCTAGACAAGCCTTACATACCTCCGATTGTTCTTCTTCTAAAGTTTCAGGACTGTCATGTTCAAGAGGAATTATGTTTCGCTATATTATATCGGTTAACTGTTTGATTTGCAGTCGGTCCCTCTGTATATCTCAGAGATGGCACCTCCAAGACACCGAGGACTGTTCAACAATGGTTTCCAATTCTGTGTAGGAATTGGTGTTCTATCAGCTAATCTTATCAACTATGGTACAGAGAAAATAGAAGGTGGTTGGGGTTGGAGAATCTCCTTAGCCATGGCAGCAGTTCCAGCCACAATTCTCACACTCGGTGCGCTTTTCCTCCCCGAAACACCCAACAGCCTAATCCAGAGAAGTGACAATCATGAAAAGGCCGAGACGATGTTACGACGCATACGGGGCGTCAATGATGTCCAAGCAGAATTGAACGATCTTGTCAAAGCAAGCTCCATCTCAAAAACTGTCGATCACCCGTTCCAAAATATAATCCGAAGAGAATATAGACCTCAACTGGTCATGTCCATTGCCATTCCCTTTTTCCAACAAGTAACAGGAATCAATGTTATCTCATTTTATGCGCCGGTTTTGTTCAGAATAATCGGTTTAGGAGAAAGTGCTTCTCTTTTATCAGCAGTTGTAACGGGTCTCGTGGGAACTATCTCAACATTCATATCCATGCTTTTGGTGGATAAGCTCGGTCGAAGAAAGTTGTTCATGATTGGGGGTGTTCAAATGCTTGCCTCGCAAGCAATGGTCGGAGGAATCCTGGCTGCTAAGCTTGGAGATCACGGAGGAATTAGCAAAGCTTATGCTTATTCGGTACTTGTTTTGATATGCATATATGTTTCCGGGTTCGCCTGGTCATGGGGACCTCTTGGGTGGTTGGTCCCAAGCGAAATATACCCACTAGAGATCCGATCAGCCGGACAGAGTATAACAGTAGCGGTTGGATTCCTCTTTACATTCTTAGTTGCTCAAACTTTTTTATCTATGCTGTGCCACTTCAAGTCGGGGATATTCTTCTTTTTTGGTGGGTGGGTGGTGATCATGACCGTTTTTGTGTATCTACTGTTGCCGGAGACGAAGAATGTGCCGATCGAGCAGATGGATAAGGTCTGGAGGGAGCATTGGTTTTGGAAGAACGTAGTGGGAACAATGGATGTTCATATTAACAAGACTGAAGCATGATGATGCTATTTCAGTAGTGTATCCATAAAGCTTATAATGATTTTCACAGAGGCCCTCGTTGCTGTTTTAACCATTTCACTACTAATTGTTTAAGACAATCAAAAACCGTTGCTATCAAGCCCATCCACTAGTTTATTTTGATTTTCTTTTCCTAGTTAGTCAAATTCTATCATAGAAAGCCGCGAAAAATTCATCCATTATGCAACCAAATTATCATCCCAAAAACAATAACTTACTTTCAATAAACAAAAAGCTGAAAACTATTTTTGGAAAATTATTTAATTGAAACCAGCTGATGGAAGCTTCACAATAACCAAACTCAAGCTTATCATCTCATTGGCCTCTTGCACTCAAAGAAGAACAGTCCCATTGTTCTTCACCCTGTCATTTCCAGCCAGTCAATTGATTCATTTAGTCCTTCTCTACACGCGGAAGAAGATTAGGAGTAGCAATAGGAGAAGGATAAGGCACGCAAGCCCTTTGCTTCCTAACATGCAAGTCAGATTTGGAAACCTCCTCTTGGTTGGGAGCGGGGAAAGAGTGCTTTAAGTTTGTCCTCCTTTTTATTCATATAGTCACAATCATAGCGTGCCATGCGCAAAGAGTCTAAGTAATTTCAACTTGAGTAACCTTCAACTACCAATAATTAAGGAGAAGGACCATCAAAATAATGAGTGCTGGTCCTATGTGAGATGGACTCAACTGTTCTCTTTAAAAACATTGACAGATTTTATCTTCAAAAAAGAGAGACAAACTTAAAGCACTGGATCAAGATCATGACAGTGACATGGATAAAGATATGTTTTCATGAATCACTAGCCAAAGTTGGAATTTGCATTCGACCAAAGAAAAAAGTTGGAATTTGCAGGCCTGTCTTCTCATATAACTTTTGCAACAGCAGTTTCTTCTACAATTAGATTTAATGACACATAGGGATCTTCCGATTATTATTATAGGTATCAAACGAGCTAGTGTCTCATCACAGTTTGGGATTAGGCCAACCAAAATGTCCTTTCTATTTTCAACCCCTTGTGCTGCCATATAGTCCCGATGATTTGAGCCCCCTAATATAGCAAGAAGGACCGGCCATCTGGCTATCTTTCACTTCAACTCCCAACTGCGTGTTATTGGAGGAAGCCATGGCTGTAGGAGAAGCTATAGAATATGGAGGAACATATAGATACAATGGAAGAATCACTCCGTTTGTTGTCTTTGCTTGTGCAGTGGCCGCCACCGGTGGCATTATTTTCGGCTATGACATTGGCATATCGGGTTTGTTCAGCTATTTCGCAGGATATTGTGTGATTTTTTATGTTCAGTTACTGTTTAATGCTTATAAGGTAGAGCTTCATATGAGTTTGGAGAGTGTCGAACATTTTTTTCTTGTCAGTGCTGATAGAAGAACATGTCTTTTCTTAAGGTGGAGTTAAGTCATTTTTGAAGAAATTCTTCCCTGTTTAATGCTTATGAGATTGAGCTTAGCGTCAAACGTTTTTTTCTTATCAGTGCTGATAGAAGAACATGTCTTTTCTTAAGGTGGAGTTACATCGATGGATCCATTTTTGAAGAAATTCTTCCCAGAAGTGTATAATAAGATGAAAGAAGACACAAAGATCAGCAACTACTGCAAATTTGACAGCCAACTCTTGACCTTATTCACTTCCTCCCTGTACATAGCCGGCCTTGTAGCTTCCTTCTTTGCCTCCTCAGTCACGAGATATTTTGGACGCCGGCTTTCCATTCTTGCTGGCGGGGCTGCTTTTCTTGCCGGTTCAGCTCTCGGAGGTGCAGCTTCCAACGTGGCCATGTTGATATTTGGCCGTGTTCTACTTGGGATCGGAGTCGGCTTTGCAAACCAGGTTCTTATGTTGTCGTGCTAAAGTTCAATCATCAAGACTAGTCAATTCTGTTTTACTGAGCCAAATGTGATCTGCTGACCAATTATTGTCCTACCTTCCTTTCATCGTTTTTCTTGAGGTCTTTCCATTCTCAGTTGCATGTTCTGTCTTTGAAATTAGAACTGAAGCATGTCATAGAACAATTTTAAGATCAGTTTGACAGGCAAGCTTGTAATTGTCTTCTACACTCTTTCTAAAGACATTCTTGGACAGGGCCTTAAAGTCTTCCATCACTCTCTAGCCAAAAACTATGCCAATGGTGTTCTGTTGAAGAAATGCCTATAACAGTGACATTGTCTTACTCCTTAATTTGCAGTCAGTCCCTCTGTACATCTCTGAAATGGCGCCTCCGCATCATCGATGATTTTTCAACAACGGCTTCGAATTGTGTCTAGGAATCGGCGTTTTATTTGCTAATCTCATCTACTACAGCGCCGAGAAAATAGAAGGGGGTTGGGGCTGGAGAATCTCCCTAGCCATGGCTGCAGTTCCTGCATCAATCCTAACACTCGGCGTATTTTTTCTCCCCGAAACACCTAACAGCATAATCCAGAGAAGCAGCAACATAGAAAAGGCCAGATCCATGTTGCAGCGTATCAGAGGCACAGATGATGTTCAAGCAGAGCTAGACGATCTCGTCAAAGTGAGCTCAATCTCAAAAACTGTCCACCATCCATTCAGAAACATCATCCAGAGGAAGTACAGGCCTCGACTAGTCATGTCCATCGCCATTCCCTTTTTTCAGCAAGTCACAGGAATCAATGTCATTTCGTTCTACGCTCCCGTACTATTCAGAACGATTGGATTAGGAGAGAGTGCTTCTCTTTTATCAGCAGTCACGACTGGCGTTGTTGGAGCTGTTTCAACATTCATATGCATGCTTTTAGTGGATAAGCTTGGTTGAAGGAAGCTGTTCATGATCGGGGATCTCCAAATGCTCGCGGCGCAAGTAATGGTCGGAGGAATAATGGCAGCTAAGCTTGGAGATCACGGTGAAATCAGCGAGGCCTATGCATATTTGGTGATTGTCTTAGTATGCGTATATGTCGCCGGGTTTTGCTGGTCATGGGGACCTCTCGGGTGGTTGGTTCCCAGCGAAATATTCCCCTTAGAGATCCGATCGGCAGGGCAGGGTATAACGGTTGCGGTCGGATTTCTCTTCATATACCTAGTGGCGCAGACGTTCTTGTCCATGCTGTGCCATTTTAAGTCGGGGCTGTTTTTCTTCTTCGGCGGGTGGGCGGCGATCATGACCGTGTTCGTGCATCTGTAGTTGCCGGAAACGAAGAACGTGCCGATCGAGCAAATGGACAAGATCTGGAGGGAGCATTGGTTTTGGAAGGAGATCGTGGGCGAAATCGATGTCAAGACCAACAAGATGGAAGCCTGACTCTGCCATTTCGGTACAGCGGGAACCATAAGTTGATAATCACAAGCACATTTCTACTGCTCTTCAGTCTCTCATTATTTGGAACTAGATAAAATTTAGTGTCTTGATGAATGCGAGCACTTTGTATGCTCCGAAAATGGTGCAGATGTGCACTCTTTATCCCTTTATTACTCCATGGCAAAGCGTATCCAAGAAAGGTTCAGACATGAGCGATGATGGTGGTTTTGCCCATGGAGGGATCCAAAGAGAGTCAGAGGTGAGAGAGGAGGTACAGAAAGCTACGTGGATTGAGTGAGTAATCATCGGCGTCTCTTTTCCTGAATGGCAACGTTGATTTCAGTGTCCCCAAAAAACAGAGGAGGCTTTGAGTGTTGCGAAGGCAAAGGCCGAAGGCACATGGTCAAACCAGCTTTCATCTATACTCAAAAACTGTCCACCATGCCCAGTCTTTTCTTGACTTTTTCTTCATCCAATCAAAATCCAAGACCCCACATCCCCAAAATTAATAAAAAAAAAAGAAGTCAACAAAATCAACCCACCATCTCAAATATCTAGAAAAGAATGGAGAACATGGCTTTGATCAGTGGAAATAAGCAAATCGTTCTTCATATGCACGTTGAATTTCACCACCATGATGTCATTTTCACCACCTCCAGCAAGAAACATTGGTTCAGAGATTGACATTACTGACCCAGAGCTCAGAGGAGAATGCCAAAAAGAGAGCTGGAAGATACCTTGGGGCTTTCTTGTCAATGGCATCTAGTGCTGTACACGCGTATGCATCCAAAAAAAAAAGTCAGATATGCTTCCCAGGGGATCAAAGTATCGGCTTTGTAGAGTCCAACTCCTCCACGCACTCTGCTTTCATTCGATTTCTAGATGGGCTTTCTCGCAAGATGGGGGGTTTTAAAACGAGGAGTCACCATCAGATGACGGAATCAGCAGCCGATCAAAGGCCCGTTGGAAATTCAATGCTGCCGAATGTCAAAACCTACCATAGAAGAAACGCTGAGCAGGAGTCCGTGGGTGGTGGGGTTGGCCCACGGATGTGACGTGAACACAAAAAAACGGTCATTGAATTTTGGAAGAAGCAGACAGAAGTTTTGTACAATTCTTTCTTTACGCTGGAAAATGACATCAACAGAGCCTCTCTCTAATTTCTTTCTAATCTCTTCCCTTATTCCATCCTGGGGTAAGTGCGATACTTCCCGGTTCGATCAAAGGGGGGGGGGGGGGGGGGGGGATCCACGTCGAAAATACGTTACATATTTTGTGCCGGGACACAAATCTTAGGAGTTAGCGCATGCAAAATCCATCACATGGGTAATTCGGTTGTTAGGGCGTCTCTTTCCATTGTGTGGTTAGGCGTGTTCGAATCCCGGCAGTCGGACTTGGCTGGCGCTGTGATTTAAGTGAGGTGTGTAGGGTGGAGTTCTTGTCTTTCTCCTCAGGAATAATCAGTTTGTATGGCCCGTCGAATCCTTGTTTACCAAAAAAAAAAAATCCCATTAAAGGGGAGAGGTTGTTAGTGCAGATGGGTGAGGGATCGGTGGAGGATGCTGGCGATGCAGGGAAAAGTAGAATCACTTTTCTTTATTGTCATGACGGGTTTGATGTGATGATGAATTTGGCTCTGATTCGTATGAATTCTGTGCCCTCTAATTATTTTCTTTCACCTTTTTCCCCCCTTTGCACGCGCTATTGCATCATCACCACAAGAGCCTATTTTTTCTCTACAACGCAAAACCCAATTCCCACGTTCGACCCCCCCAAAAAAAAAAGAAAAAGAAAATCCAATTCCCGCCTTACTTGTTTCCGCGATAAAATCAATTTGAGCACGACGTTAGCGATACGCGACGAATAATCTGATCATTTAGAGATATTTCCCGAGCAACTTTTTTTTTCTTGTACGAAGGAAATCAGTTTTCCTAAACTACCAAACGAATGAAAATTCATGGAAAATATTTACTTTTATCAATGAAATAAATTATTGGTTATATTTGTTGGGATAATTAAACAGCAAAAAAATGTATTTATTGTCGATAACAATTTATACTTATATATTTTCGTGGACGATAAATTTATTTTCCGTTCATACATTTTTTTTTAAGTGATATAGGCGATCATTTTTATAAAAAAAAATATTTTTTTTTCCAAAACCCGAGTTTTCAGTGAAATGAAAAAGGAAAGGCTTTTAAAGCAAGCATTAAACCTCTACTATGTTTTCTAAAAGGAGAAAACTCTTCAATACTTTTACATATTTGGTAGATGCTTTGCTGGACTAAATTGCAATTATTTCAATATTTAAGTCAAAAGAAGGGGGGGGACCAATTAGATTTTCTTTGGTAGAAAAAAGAGATAAAGAAAAGAAAAAAAGAGAAGAAATAATAATTACGGCTTCTCTTTTTTTAATAATTACGGCTTTTTTTGTTACAAATATATAATTACGGCTTTAAGCGAAAGGAAAGAGAGCAGTTACTACTACTATTAACGTAATGGCAGTCACGGTCAGAGAGTCTCACGTCCGTCCGATCACTTCAACAGATCACCCTCGCCCAGTCAACCAACGGCTCCGATCTTCCCATTCTCTCTCCTCCATTTCTCTCTCTCTCTCTCTCATCTTCTTCTGCATCTTCTTCTTCTTCTTATTCTTTTTCTGCTTCTTCTTCCTCTGCATCTTCTTCACTTCACTGTTTCACTGAAAACGATGCTAGATCGCCACCGCCGCTGAGCTCCGCAGTCTCTCTCCCCCGCCCATGTCGCCGCCGCCGCCGCCGCCCTCGCCGGAGCCGGCGCCGGCGCCGCAGCGGGCGCTCCCGAGCCACCGCCCCCTGCTGCCGTCGCGGGTCTTCACCCCCGTCGCCGCCTCCGCCGCCGCCTTCTCCTGCCTCCTCCTCCTCGTCGTCCTCTTCCGAAAGCTCACCCGCAAGCGCACCGCCCCCGCCGCCGACGACTCCAAGCCGCCGTACCGGTTCCCGTACGCCGCCCTCCGCCGCGCCACGGGTTCGTTCGCCGCGGCGAACCGGCTCGGCCAGGGCGGCTTCGGCTCCGTCTTCTCCGGCTCCCCCCTGCCGCCGGCGAACAAGCCGATCGCCGTCAAGCTCATGGACTCCGGCTCTCTCCAGGGCGAGCGGGAGTTCCAGAACGAGCTCTTCTTCGCCGGTATTCTCAATTCGCCTTACACGCTCCCTGCGCTAGGGTTTTCGTTCAATAAGAAGCGTCGTAGGATGTTGATAGTCTACGAGTTGATGCCTAACGGTAATCTCCAGGACGCACTGTTACATAGAAAGTGTCCGGAGTTGATGGAGTGGAAGAAGAGATTCTCTGTTGCGGTTGATATAGCGAAAGGTATTGAGTATCTCCACTCTCTAGATCCGCCTGCTATTCATGGTGACATCAAGCCTAGTAATGTGCTCTTGGACCAGTACTTCTCGGCCAAAATCGGCGACTTTGGCCTCGCGAGGTTGAAATCGGAGAATCAGTGTGAAATTACCGTGTTGGAGAGTGATATAGGGAAGGCAAATGGTGGATCTGAGGCTAATAAGGTCGAGGTCGAGAGTAATGGTGCTGGTGTTGCGGTAGAGGATGCTGGATCTGTGCTCGAGGATACTGAGAGTGTGGCGACCACCACATTCGAGGAAAACAACGCAGGCAGTGTGGATCAGTCGCCTGAGAGTTTCGTTAGGATTCCAATCTCGGAGACATCACCTGAGGCGGTGACAGCATCTCCATGGACTGTAGGAGGCGTGGCAACTACATCACCGGAGGCGAACTTTGATAAGTTGAGTGTTGATAGTGGGAAGAGGAGCTATAAGGGGATGATGAAGAGTGTTTCCGGGAAAGATTGGTGGTGGAAGCAGGATAACGGGGCTGCGGAGACTGGAGTGGTGAAAGATTATGTGATGGAATGGATTGGAACTGAGATCAAGAAGGAGAGGCCAAAGAGTGACTGGTTGGGGGCTGGTTCTTCAAGCAATGGGACTGTTACGAAACCAGAGAAGAAGAAGAATAGAAAGCGGTTGGAATGGTGGGTATCCATGGACGAAGAGAAAAATGTGAAGAGCACGAAGAAGGAGAAGAGAAGGCCAGCGAGGGAGTGGTGGAAGGAGGAGTATTGTGAGGAACTCGTGAGGAAAAAGAAGAAGAAGAAACGGCAAATGGGGGTCAGTGATGATAATTACGCTGAGGAAGATTGGTGGCCCAGGGATGAGGAGTTACATGCGGATAGGAAGAAGAAGAGTAAGAGTAGGAGCAGGAGGAGTAGTAAAAGTAGTGTGGACTGGTGGTTGGATGGACTGAGTGGAGAGCTATGGAGAGGTCGACGGAATAGCTATGATTTTTCCGGAGAGATTCCTAAGAGTGGTGGTGTTAGTAGTACTCCCAGTATGAGGGGAACTGTGTGTTATATTGCCCCTGAGTATGGTGGCGGTGGCGATCTCTCAGAAAAGTGTGATGTGTACAGTTTTGGAGTGTTGTTGTTGGTTCTTATTGCAGGACGTCGCCCACTTCAAGTAACCGGCTCGCCCATGTCTGAATTCCAGCGTGCCAATCTTTTATCTTGGGCTCGTCATCTCGCCCGAAGCAGAAAGCTTCTTGATTTGGTTGATCAGTCTATTCAGTCTTTGGATCGCGAACAAGCACTTTTGTGCGTCACAGTTGCTTTACAATGTTTGCAAAAGTCACCTATTCGCAGGCCTTCCATGAAGGAGGTGGTGGCAATGCTTACAGGGGTCTCTGAACCACCGCAATTACCATTAGAGTTGTCTCCTTCACCTCCCTCCCGGTTTCCTTTTAAGTCACAGAGGAAAGTCCGGTGAGTTTGCAACATCTGAACTATTGACGCACTTACTTCATCTTTGCGGATGATCTGTGTAAAGAAATCTGTATTTGTATTTTCATTTTATTTAATGGATTTGGGATTTTCTTCACATGCTTCTCTATCTGTGTTGATATGATTTGCAAATTTAGAATGTTCCTTATAATTGTGATAGTTTGGGAGCTACTGAGAATCAATACATAGGTCCCCCTTCATCTTTCTTGTACACAATGTTTGTGGAATGCAAAAGTGGGTGGCTTTGCTTTCCTGCATGGTCTGTGTTCCATGTTCTTGTGACGAGTTCATCAGTAAATTTCACTGGTTTCTTATATTCGAATATGCCGTCTTTCTTCTATTTACCTCTTCAGCTTCACTGAAAAGAAACTAGCTCTGTTTATCTTTTTCTGCTGGATTGAAAGTACACATAATTCAGTACCATCGTGGGTATGGCATCCAGACAAAAATGGCAAAAAAGAAAGGACATGTTAGGACACTGATTGACTAAATCCAGAGTTGTATAAAAAGTCACAATAGATGGGAATTCTGTGAAAGGTTGCCAATTTGGATAACTCAGTCACATTTGTCCAGGCATTATCTGTTCATTGTAACAATTTCCTATGAATCCATATTTTGGGTGACATGAAATCTGTTCAGCAGCACAGTTTTGAGATATACTCATGGCTTGCATCAAGACTTTCACAGAAGGACACTACATTCCTTTCCATACAAGTTATTAATTTTCAAGTTGGGGAGAGTATTTGGTGCAGGACTTCCGCTAAAGAAGTCTTAGGGCATGTCTGGATGAACTGTAATTTTTGGATGATATGATAAAATCCGGTTTCCCCTAATGGACCGATGAGTTATGTCTCTCTCCAGCAGTAGATTAAGTTTAAATGATACAGGCAGCTGGGCACAATCTCAATCCAGCCGTCACATTTTGCTTCAGTTTGGATGGATGAATTTTGGGTTGTTTCCCCAATCTAGCATGTGCAATTGATATTGCTTGAGGATGGGAGTTCAAGATGATTCCTAGCATAAGCTTGACCAGAATTGTAGAGAGATTTTGGCAAGTTGTCAATCATGGTCTTAGCATGCTGATAGATATTGAGATTCTACGTGATGGAGTACTTGTAAGTGGAATATAGTTTGCTTAATTTCTTGTTTCTTTGCTCTTTAGTCTCAGATAAATGATTGTGTGGAATATGAGATTGGGAAATGCTTGATTGTTGTTTTTTGAGTCGGAAATACAGTTCTTGCTCCCCATTTACCTTCTGCACATTGCTTTGTTACTGCAGTTACGACTTACAAATGTTAATTTTGTAAGGTTCACAATCTGGATTTAAAATTTTTTTTTTCCAAAGCTTCTAGCCTTCAGTGGTATTGGAGAGGGCATCCATGTTTTAAGTTAATGGTTTTGCCGGATGTCAACTTTTGGGTAATTATCGATTTTCCTTTGCACAATTGTTTTTTAGCTAAGACCGCTTTGGACGGTCTTTGCCTCTTTGGTTTTGATCGATGCTCGAGATTCACTAGTCTTCAACCTTAGGGGACTAGTTAGAAGTACACATAGCCACTGCCCTTATGCATGCATTTGTTTGCACGCCAATATAGCCTCAGACCATATGCATAGCAATTTACAAATTCTTTCAGCTTCTTTGTTGGTTTATGGCAAATTTGAGCACAGGTTGAAGGATGAGCAATCCAGTTGTGGATGTTATTCAGTATATCGGAGTAGGTTGCTGGGATCAATGGAAGCCACATTTTCATAGTTGCATTGCATTGCATGAGAATTGTTCATTCTATGTAGTAGTTGGGGTTACACAAATCTCTTTCCAGATACTTCTCTCTGCTTTGCTTCTTATTGGTTCATAGCTTCATTCATACCATCCATTTTGGCTCTGACACAGGCAATCCAAACATAACTGGACCGAACCAAACTGATAACTTCGATCCTATGGATTTAACAATTTGGATTTGGCTCGCTCAAATTTTTTCCAAACTTATAAGTGAAAATTGTATAGCAACTACTCCTTTCTTCTTTTGTGGGATCAGTCATTGCTCAGTGTTTCCAAAGGGAATATGAAATGCGCTACTAATAACATGAGCTTTCAAAACTCTACTGATCTAGGGACTCTACACTGTACATTGGCATTGCAATTATTCATCACCCTGGTAGGACGGATCTTTATGAGGCAATATAATTGGTTACTCAACAAGCTACTTCTAGTGTGATGTTGGAGATAAAAATCCTTGGTTAATTTTAAGGTTCTCATGCAAACGCGGATCTACCATCAATGGGTACAATCGAATTGGATCCATCTTAGATTATATTTGTCGGTTGGTTTGTAATTTGCGGTTGTTCAAATTGAAATTATTGGTTTAACAATAATAATATCTCATATTCGTCTCACATAATAGATGAAGTTAGTAGAGGACTTTAGTGGAGTATTCGATGAGTCCGGAGCTAGTATATATATATATCTAAGGTGAACTTTTTCATAGAAAATAAGATCCAACATTATGGATGCCAAAACCAAACCGGAAAAGCTGTACCAAAATCGGAATCGAACCAAAATTTCGTTCATTTTTTGTTCGGTTTGGGTATTAGTTCGGATAATGAAACAATAACATGTTTTATTCTGGTTCGAATAGTTTCGGTTCAGTTTGGTTAACCAATCCGAACTGAAAATCGTCCCTCTTCTTAATATTATAATTTACACTATCTCTCTCCTTTTTTCACTAAACCTCTTCTTAATTTTACAAAAAAGAAAACCGAATAAGCAAACCAAACCAAACCAAATTGAACCGAACGGCATTCAAAGCTAAAACGTACCCAAACGGTTCGGTTTGGTTCGGTTCGGATTAACCCTACTTATGGCTACAAATGGAAGGCAAGATATTGAAAATAAATTTATTGTTTAATTTTTTTTAATTAGAATCTCGATAATTAAATTTATTAAAAAACTTGAATCGTAAATGGTTCTTGAAAAACTTGAATCGTAAATGGTTCTATATACTTAAAGTATATTTTGCCCTTTTCATCCATCTTACCATTAAGGAAGTCTCAATGAGGGTTATTTTAGACCATGTAAATTTTTTAGCGTGTGCCTAAAACTATCTTAAGGGTACAAAAAGTGTGAGCCTTTTCAAATTGCACAAAACAGAAGAACTTATGTTTTGCATGAAATTGCCGTGCAAATGGTTGAAAATATGTAAGGAGCAAGTTCGCGACTTACTTTCAAATGATGGACTCATAAAAGACTTGAGATTTAGTGTTCTGCCCGGCCAAATGGATTAGTTGTGCCCGATATAAGCATGCATCCTGTCAAATCAACCTCATGGACTATAAACAATCCTCTTAAGTTTGCTGAGAGGGTATATGTTGTTGAGAGGAGAGAAGTTAGGGAACTAATGGAATAAGGTCGGTTCTCTTAAGGACCGTTGACACCTTGATTTTTACCGACAAATTAAGCATGCATTTTTTTGTAAAAAAATAAATAAAAAGATAGATATAGAAAATAATAATAACAAATAAAAACAAAATACAGATTAAAAAACAAGAGAGACGAAATAAGATAAATTAAGCTCAAACCCATTAATTTAGGCCTCATTATTCTCGAGCCCGGTTTAGTCTAGCCCACAACTTGGGTCCATTTCAAAAGGGAACTGGACGTGAATATGAAATGTGCTACTAATAACATGAGCTTTTTCAAAACCCTAATAATCTCTAGCGACTCTACACTGCACATCGGCATTGCATGTCTTCATAACCCCAGTAGAATGAATTTTTATGAGGCAATATGATTGGTTACTCAACAAGCTGCTTCTAGTTTGATGTTGGTGGAGTTGGTGGTTCAAGTCCTAAGTTAATTTTAAGGTTGTCATGCAAACGTAGATCTACCATCAATGGGTCCAATCGAATTGGATCGACCTTAGTTTATATTTGTCAGTTCAGTCTGTATTTCATGGTTGTTCAAATTGAAATTATTGGTTCGACAATGATCATATCTTATATTCGTCTCGCACAATCTATGAGATTAGCAGAGGACTTCAATAGAGTATTCCACGAGGCAGGAGCTTCAGTATTTATATTTAAGGTGAACTTTTTCGTCATGGAAAATGAGATACTATGTTAACTCGTGAACACCCCGGAACTTATGGCTGCAAATGGAAGGCGAGGCTTGGTTTGCATTATTGGAATCAATTTCCCTCTTGCCGTAGCACCTCACATGCAAAGCTTCAACATCACCTTGTTTCTTTTATAGGGATAATGACACAATTAGTCCCTGAACTTTGACTCAATGTGTAATGCGGTCCATGAACTTTTAATTGGTTCAATGTAGTCCATGAACTTTAAATTAATATTCAATGTGGTCCATGAACTTTTAATTTATTTAATATGATCCATGAACTTTTGGTATATGTTCAATGTAGTTTCTAAACTATATGAAAATGTTTAATGTAGTCCCTGAACTTGAATTAATTGAAGGACTACATTGAATATTTTCATATAGTTCAGGAACTAAATTGAATATGTACCAAAAGTTCAGGAACGACATTGAACAAATTAAAAGTTTAGGGACCACATTGCATATTGAGTTAAAGTTTAGGGACTACATTGAACAAATTAAAAGTTCATGGACCATATTGAATATTGGACCAAAGTTCAGGGACTATTTGTGTTGTTTTCCTTCTTTTGTATTATGGCAAAACTGTTGTAGCTCAAATGCCAGAATATATTTTGATAATAATTTTTCCCTAATAACCGTAAAACCTTTGCTAGTAATGGGAAAAAAATGAACTAATTCTAACTCCAAAGGAAAGGCAAATGGTACTAAAAAAATATAAGCTATAACTCTTATGCCAACTCAGCAAAAAATTAGTCCATTTACTTGGCAACACGTGTCGTTCGCAGGCCCACCTGTTAGATCTCTCTCTCCCTTTGTCTCTCTCCTCGCACCTCTAATTCTCTTCTTCTTCACCGTTCCTTGTAAGAAAATATTATGTACAATTTTGATGCCAATTCAACAAAAAACTAGTCTATTCACCTCGCGACATGTGTCGTTCGTGGGCCCACTTGTTAGATCTCTCTCCCTTTGTCTCTCTCCTCTC